AGTCTTCCCGTCTGAATTTTGGGCACCCACACTTGACACTTGCCGACCTCTAGCAGCAATGATCTGTGTTTATCGTAAAGTGATCGTGTCGAGCTATTCCTCAATTGGGTCTTCCTTCCCAATGGGAATGTATAGTAACGAAGTCGCGCTTCATTGGCAATCTGGCCCCGGCGGTGGGCGTGTAGAGCACACGCGTATGTACCTAGGTCAATGGCCGTTCTCAACTTTGGTAGAGTGATGCAGGCTTCCGTTTGATCTGCAAGCTACAATGGTTATACCCCTGTTCATATCCGAAAAGCCAGCGACTTCCAGTGGTTCCTTTGACAAGTATAACTGGAAGTGAAGGTGTGAGGCGCGGGTACCTGAAGGCGCCAGTAGTGCCGCGCTAACCGTGCCCGCTCTTGGCGCGCTCCCAGGCGGCATCAGACTGGACGATGCACTGAGACAACAAAGGGTAATGTTATGTTGATTCTGCCTTATTCTGTCTTGGCTATGTACCAAGACACCGTTCCGGGTCGGTCGGCTTCCAGTATGACAGATGACGTCGCGTTTGTTGCATCGCTGCTACTTACCTAGGTATATTTGAGCATTACCACGTATCGTGCTCTTCCTGTTCGCCTTCTTACTTCTCTCATTCCAAGTTGCCGCCTTCATTACAGAGACTGAATCTCTAACCAAAATCATGACTTCAGCATTCACTATAGAGACTGTACCTCTCCCCAACACCATGACTTCAACACTCCGTTCGGTCGCAGCGACACTCGTTCCGATCCCATCGAGCGAAGCCCTGCCTACACCCACGTCTTGTTCTCCAGGCATCGCTCCTAATGGTCTCAATATTACGGGACTCACAGGTCAGATCTGCCAGGTCAACGTTCCTCCAAACGATGTCGACATCACATCCTGTTGCAACAATGATGCCGAGGTCCGTATCTTGAACGACTGCACTCAGTGGTGCGAGGCAGACAATGGGAGCGATTTCTTCGACTGCGTCAACGACATGGCTCCTTCCTCGTACCCTTTCCTTGGCGGACCGTGTGTAGTCGTGTCTGCGAGCTCGACTTCAGCGATGTCATCATCCAACACCGGAGTCGCATCGACACCGTCTACTTCCTCAGAGACTCAGACGCCCGAGTCCACTGAGGCGTCGCCTTCCACCACTGAGTCAGAAGAGGATGGTGCTGAAGCAACGGAGACTCCCGATGTTGAAGGTATGTATCCGTCTCATCTAATTTCGTACTACTACAGCGTGCTGATTAAACAAGACGCTGGAACAAGCACCTTGGCCTCGCACAAGCTCGGTATGACAGCCTTAGCAATGGCTGCAACGCTCAGTGTCTTGGCTTGGCTTTAGTTGATGGCCACGTTTGAGCGAGCATGGAGATATACACTGAACTACATACAAATGGCCATACTTCATGATGAATGCAAAGCCCTGCGAGTTCCCCATCATCTCGGTGTGGTTGGATAAGTTGTTGATTGCTGCAAACTAATCTACATATCCATCGTGACTAGTAGCATCGCATCAGGACACACTTTGCTAACAGCAAGCATACCCTGGAGATCACTATTAAAGTGTCCAGACGGGCGCAGTACGACAGTTCGTATCTTATCAATCATGCACGAGTTCAAAGGCCATGTCGATAACGTACAGAAAGACGCGATCCAGCATCTCCAGGAACAAGGCTTCTTCAATGTCACTTCGAGTACAAGTACTCTCAATAACGAGATCTCACCAATTTTCGCCCGCTACCGGTTCATCGGCGTTTCGCAGCACATGTATGATAACATAAGGCCTGCTCTGCAACTTGCAAGTCGATTCGTGGGATACGAACGAGTTCTTGACTATTTCTGGCATCAGATGAGGAGTCAGACACTACCTTCTCAGACCTTTGTAGGAGACGCCCCGCCCCCACTAATTTACGTTTCAAACTATCGGCTAGTAGAGAAATCCATCTTGATGGCCGAATGGAGGGAGAAACTGGACAACCTAACTAGCGTTTTGACTTGGAAGGTGCAAGAATCCGACCGTACCCCGACAGACATGGATTTGGGATTAACTTTCGCTTTTGATGAACTCCGAACAACCTTCTCAGACCACGCGACCAATGACAAGACTTATAACGAGGTTCTAAGGCTTTGCAATTGGCGCGAAGCGGATAGGAGCGCCAAGGTACGTAACGGTATGCTGGCTTATTGCGCCGATATGATGGGCGAGGGCTTGCGGTTTCGACCAGAGAGGGGAGCACCGACAAGTCCCTGCGTGCTCCTGCACTCAGTCTTTCGCAAAGTGCTCGTTCCAGACTCCGAGACAACTGTGACAGATAGTTCTGGTCCTCCCCCTCCATCTAGCGTACAGAACCTTGGACCCCAATTCCTTCTCGCCCACGTCTTGCTCCATGAGTTGGCCCACTGTCTCGACAAGTTTCCGATCTTCAAGTGCAATGATCCCCAAGGTCTATCGATGGAAGCTTTTGCTAGCGAGGAAGAAGCCAGTGTCTTCCAATTCCCCGAATGCGGTCTCTCCTGGGAACGGGCAATCTTCCAAGGTCGTTGCATCCGATTCCATCAATTCGTCGCTGACCAAAGCAAGATAGCAATGAGATACACAGATATCGCTGCCCTTGCCGTCGCGAGTTTCAGCCACAAAGACGATCGTGGTACTGCTACATCATCAACTTTCACCGTTGGTGACAAAACTTACAAGGCCACGACTGACTTCACGAGCTATGAGAAGTCACTGATCCCGTGGCAGTGGATTTCGGATTGGTTCCAGGATTCACATTGGCATCCAAATCGGACTCGCGATGAAGTACTGGCCTTGCCTTCTCTGAGATGGAAAATGTCCTATGAACTCCCTGCGCCAGACGACCCTTCCACGATAGCTGATGAGATTGTGAGAATCCGCGTGAAAGCACCTAATGAGGATGAGTAGGAGTATATGTGAATGCGAAGCTTCATTATGGGCCGCGGAGGAGTAGAGGAGCGCAAGACTGTAGGCCTACTGATTGAGCTGGAATAGGTACAGTAGTAATACACCCGCTGAAGACATGCATACAGTCCATCAAGCAGCGTGCTTTGTTGTCTCAACTGTCTCCTTCCCATAAACATCATGCTTCGCATCCTCCACAATCCTGCATTCATACAGCCTGAACTTTCGTGCCGCCACTCTAGCTTCGAAGATCTCATCCAGCTCCTCTAATGATCGCGCCTTCGTTTCCGGAAGGAAGAAGTAGAACCAGGCAACACAGATGAAGTTCGAAGCTGCCCATATATACGTGTATTGCGGACCCTGCAATTGTGTCAGCGTAAGCCGCAGAGTAGTGTACTTCTACACACCCAGTCAAGATCCTGAGGGTTGATGAAGTATGGCGAACAGAACCCGATCAGCCAAGCGAGAAAGTATCCAAGAGCATTCGCGCTGCCCACCGTCCAAGCTCGAAGTCTTGAACTAACAAGTTCCGTCGCTAGAGGGCTTGTCGCAACACCCACTCCGGCGTTGTAACAAAACAGGAACAGTGCCGTGAACGCTACCAATACGTTTCCAGTCTCGACTGAGCTGGGCTTTACACTACTTGCGATCCCGCAAGCAAGCTCGCATAGACCGCATGCTATTGCCCCAGCGATCATGATCGTCCTTCTGCCAAACAACTTGTTCATAGAGTAAAGACCAAGGTGAACACCCACGAAGCCAATACACGAGTTCATGATGCTGTACTCAAAAGCTTTCGTAATCCCAGCGATGGCGAAGAAGTAGGTTTGATAGCCGATGAAGAACCAAGAGCCGCTCGCTGACTGGCTCGCGATCGTGCCCCAACATAGTAGCGTACGTCTCAAGTCGTTGCCGCGGAAGAGATCCAGAAAGCCTGAGCTTTGACTAAGCCTACGCTCTTCTTCTACGCCCCGGATCATCTCCGCCCATTCCAACTCCAGCTCTTCGCCATGGTCGAAACGAAGACGCTCCAAAGACTTGCGCGCCGCATCATGTTGGTCACGATGTAGAAGCCATCGCGGACTCTCGGGGACGAAGAAAAGCGCCGTGCCGAGTAGAACCGGGACGATGAACATGCAGGCGAGAGGCACTTGGTAGGAGAGTTTCGAGAGGTAGCGTGAAGTGTAGTTGTCGATGATAGAGCCGATGATGCTTCCAAGGTTCACATAGAAAGAGAAGAGCCCGACCATAATTCTGGTGACCGTTAGTGATTCTATCGTCTGCGAAGAGACCCGGAAACATACTCCCGGAGATGCGCCGGTGCTGCTTCGCTACAGTACACGGTCGAGAAAACGACAAAGAAGCCGTTGGAGAAGCCTAGTAATAGACGACCTACATACAGACCGGCCTTGGAGGTGGACCCAATCTGTACCGACACTGCAGCCAAACATATGATGCATGCGAGCCACAAGGCCTTCCTGCGACCGAAGTAGCCTCCAAAGACACCGGCAGCGATGGCAGATACGCACGAACCCAGATTTAACAAAGAGGTCATGAGCTGTTGCACCGTCGACTATCTTGCGCGTCAGTAATGTTCGCGATGTCATAGGCTATGGAAACTTGCATCAATGCCATAGCCAAGCGGGCTTGTCGGGTCCTCATACCCAAAGACCATCAGAAATCCAGGCATAGCCTGCAGACCACCTACTGCAGCAGTATCAATACCGTACTGCATGCTAGCGATAGCGACGGCGGAGCATATTAGTAAGCATTTGCGGTTCGCCCACAAGGACGTCTCCTGGAGTTTTGCCATTCTTGCTCACGCAGGGACAGACCGACATCCATCTGCGAGAAGAAGGGATCGCAGCCTTATACAGCGAGATATGCGAGTCAGGCGAGGTTAGCATCGTGGGGCAGTGAGGAGAAACCCATGTCTTCTCCGCACTGGCAGGGGTGTTATGCAAAGCTGTATGGAAATGCCCGACACCTTGCCATTTCGAGAGTTGATCGACCTCGCGAGTCGACGCATACGTACAATCCATGAATGATATCGTATCTCAGCCAATCCCTACTCGTAGAACGTGCTGAACGTGTACTTGGTTTCGCGATCATACTTCGCCAAATCTTGCCGTGCTTGCAGCGCCTCTCGGATCACCGTTTGCTTGATTTCTTCGTGTCTGGGTGTGAACTTGACCTTGAATGGCTGGGGTCGCCAGTTCGATCCGCTCCTGCTAAACGTCAATATCAATGAAGCTTCATAGCCTCGAATTCTGGCAACAAAACTTACGTGAAGTTGAAGATGTCAACAGGCACTTCCTCTCCCGTCTTTGGGTCCACCTCTGGCTCCACCTTGTATGCCCACACCAATCGCGCGATGCTGAGATGCGTACCCTGCTCAGCCAACGCTTGACCAGCACAGCTTCTTCTACCCCATCCAAAAGTCATGTATCCTTTCTCTCCGGGAAACGGTCTCTTGTCATCCGTATCGAGAAATCTCCTAGGATTGAAGCGATCAGGATCGGGGAATTCGCGCTCGTTGTGATGTATCGCCCAGACGTTGCCCTGCACCCAGGTACCCTTCGCGATATGGTAGCCGTTATAGTAGTCATCTTGACTGGGTGCATGAGCAGTACCTCCTATCACTGCGACCGAACGCCAGCGAAAGACTTCTTTGACGAAAGCGCGGAGATATGGAAGATCGTCATCGAGCGTCGGACTTCGTGATCGGCCTACTACACGGTCGAGCTCTTCCCAGGCGGGTTCAAGGGTCTCAGGGAAGGCACGCATTGCCAGTACTGCTGTTTGTAGAGTGCTACTTGATGTGTCCGCTCCAGCTCCGAGCAGGTTAGCGGCGAGATTGGAGATTTCGAGAGGATGAAGATTGAGGTGAGGTGCTTCGCGAAATAGGTACTTGGAGTAGTTCTCTTCTGGACATTGCTTGGCTTCTTCAGCCAAAGCATAGAAGAAATCATTGCGGCCGTATTTGGGTTTTGCTGAACGTCGAGTATCACGCTTCCAAGGAGCCATCCAATTGGGAAATTTGGCCAGCCCTGTCATTGTTAGTATGGATTTGATCCAGTGGCTTCAAAAATTACATGGGAAGGTCTCCATCAGTCGCGGGAAGTCCTTGGCGACGACGGCCATCTTAGCAGAGGTCTGCATCTGAGCGATCACTTCAGTGATCAACGGATCTTGTATATCCCCAATCCGACGTCCAAAGCCGATGATTGACACAACGCTCGTAGCGTATCGCTCGAAATGAGCTACAAATTTGTCGGGTGTCTCGAGTAGGTCGCACACTACTATCTTGTTTTCGTCGTCTTGAAGGCTTCGATGGCGTTTTATCTGGTAACGTCAATATGAGCAACATGAAACCCTGTGGTACGCTGACCTGCTGTATCCCAACACCCTGGTGGGTAACTCTCCTGAGGTCGCGAAACCTTTCACGCTGTTCTTTCGTGTACGTGTATTTGTGCAGCAGGTTCATTTGGCCGGACATAAGCTCAGCGAACATCAGCATGCGGGGTCTAGAGTTGTAGATGTTTGCCCGTTTGACGAGAAGCTCATCAGCAGTCCATGCGTCATTGACCCAGACTGTCGGTCTCCTGTGCTGTGTTATTCACTGTTCATAACGGCAGAACTGCTGTCGAACTAACCGCCCGATCCAGAACGTGATGAGCGGTGACTTGTATTGTTTCGAAAGCTGTTCCATGAGATACCAAGGCTTTTCCTCCGGTAGACTGAAGGTGTTTCCAACAATAGGCCAAGGCAACGGTCCTGGAGGCTGTTGGCGTATTAGTGACAGACCCGACATGAAGCTGGCACAGGAGTAAGCAACTACCATTCGCCATCTTAGGTACAGCATGCGGCTGTAGTCGATTATAAGAGCGATGATGCCCGACAGAAGAAGATAAGTAGCCCACATGCTCGCAATTGCAGAAAGGCGATTATCTCAATAGTAGACCGAGAAGCTGGTGGGTGCAAAGAGCTTGGTGCCAGCAATGGTCATGATGTTTAGATGAGAAGCTTATACACGCGCCTTCACGTAATCATACCCGTTGCTTCGTTTTCGAGTGCTACGGCTGGGGATCATCCCCACATTACCGTGGTGGGGCAGCCCGCTTTGGCTGTTCGCGGGAGGGCCGGAAATAAAGACATGCGTAATCCGCAATATGTGTATCGTACCGACATATCCCATTCGCTGCGAAAGCTACGAGACGCGTAGATAGGTGTTGACGGGCTGGGGGAGAAGCGGGGTATGTGTAACGCAGTCCCTGCCATGTCTCTTGTGCTGGATTTCGTTGAGCTACAAATACGTGGAGACAGACTCCGCTGACCCGTCAGGATGATCCTTGGTTTCGAGGTAAAAGAATATGCGCCTTTCGCTCAGACCGATGCATAGCGTTGTTCGGCTCGACTTTCGGTGCGGTAGATATGGTATCTACGGAGCTGGAACGGCTGATGATTGCTCAACGAAGCTCCAATGCGTGGTATGTATCGGGACCTAACGATTCGCTGTGTCGGAATGCGGGCATATGCGGTGTTGATGCAGCGTTCTCGCCCAGCTGGTGTTGAGCACCTGGACAGTTTCGCCATTCTGATGACGTAACGCGCAATGACGGATGCATCTCCGTGTCGGGTTAGTGCCGTATCGCGCTCGTGCTTGAGACACGCGGCAGCAGCGCGCGCATACTTGACCAGTACAACTAATTGTATGTTGAACTCGAGCATGTCAAGCAAGCGTTCGACGACTCTTGGTAGATGACGACAGAAGCTACCGCTACTATGGGTTCCACCCAAGGCTCTGACAGCGCCCACTATGTGCCCAATGGCACCAATGGCGTAAAGCGTGAGTCTCCACCTGGGCACCTGCACGATGCAATGCAAGGCACAGTCCAACCCCGACGCTAACAGCATCAGGCCGGCGACGGTCAACCGTTCTCAATGCGAGATCGCATGTCAAGCAGGAGCTTTGGGAGCAGGCACCGATACTCATTGGCAGCACCAACTTCGAGCCTCTCCCTGATGCGAAGAACATTCTGATAACTGGTGGAGCTGGCTTCATGTACGTTGCGACGAGAGCACGGAAAGTTGTGAGCTGTGCGTCTCTTGAACCTCCCTTATGATACATCACAACTGACCACCAAGTAGAGCTTGCTGGTTCGTACGGCATCTAGTGATTACATACCCACACTACAATGTCGTATCATTCGACAAGCTGGACTACTGCGCTGCGCTGAATAACACGCGAATCCTCGATGAACGACCCAACTTCACATTTGAACAAGGCGACATAACGTCACCGGCGGACGTAAAGCGCGTTTTACGAAAACACAGAATTGACACACTCTTCCACTTTGCGGCGCAATCGCATGTCGACCTCAGCTTTGGCAACTCATACGAGTTCACCAACACCAATGTATATGGCACACATGTTCTGCTTGAAAGAGCGAGGGAACATGGTGTCAATAGATTTATACACATCTCGACCGATGAGGTATACGGCGATGTACCTGTCGGAGCGGCAGACCTGGGCGAGACAAGCATACTGGCCCCAACAAATCCATACTCGGCGAGTAAAGCAGCGGCAGAGATGATGGTCAGCGCATACAGGAGTAGCTTCAAGCTGCCGCTGATCACCGTTCGTGCGAACAATGTATATGGGCCGCATCAGTTTCCTGAGAGTAGGCAATCCCAATACCTCGAGTGGATGTACATTACTGACTTATACAGAAATCATCCCAAAGTTCATCATGCTTCTACAACGAAAACAGAAGCTCCTACTCCACGGCGACGGCTCCCCCACCCGACGATATCTGTACGCAGGGGACATTGTAGATGCACTAGACACGATACTGCACAAGGGCGACATCGGTCAGATCTACAATATAGCATCAAAGGACGAGATATCGAACTCGGACATATGTTGCAGGCTGTTGGATGTCTTCGAAATATCCCATGACTCCCCTGCCGAGCTGTCGAAGTGGGTCGAGCACACGGAAGACCGACCGTTCAACGACCAGCGCTATGCGACAGACGGGACCAAGCTGAGTGCGCTTGGTTGGGAACCTAAGACGAGCTTTGATGAGGGTCTGAAGGTTACAGTGGATTGGTATCGGAGGTTCGGCGAAGTATGGTGGGGAGACATTAGCCGCGTCCTGACATCGTTCCCCGTGGTGACGGGTAACGAGATCTGGACAAAAGAGGAGCATGAGGATCTACCCTCTTCGGACGGGGAGGTCACACATGAGGAGGATAGCGCGATTTGGACAACGTAGCGTCGCAGATGCTTGCTATTTCTATCATAGATTACAGGACAAAGATACCCATATGGTGTTGTAGAGTTCAATGTATGCGTTTGGGTGGACCACAGGGCCAATTTAGGTGCGGTGCCTGAGTGCGGCTGCAGGGACCAAATGATGTGGGCCCAACCATGCGACAGCCCTACCAATCTTCGCGTTCAAGTTTGCAACCCGCTGCTCAGGACACACTCGAAACAAGTTGCAGAGTTTTTCGTCCTTTCACTCGAACCCACGGTTGGAACGTGTCTTGTAGTTATTTCGAGCAGTTCCTTGCAAGCGGCCCTCAGCCACAAGCGGTGGCGTACTCACCCCAGGGCTCCGCCTTCGCTAGCGGCATTGGGCGCTTCGAATGATTGAAACGCCAGACGCAGCAAAACATTCATTGCTCAAACGTGACTTCCTCTACCTGTGACATTCATATACTACTGCATCGCCTCTTCATCTCGTGCCTTCCTTCATTCACTTTTCCAGTTCCCGCCGCGAGACCCTGGACCTTGGCTCGCCCAATCGATAACCTTGGAACGCACCCCACAATTCCCTTGGTGCTCCCCGACCCGTCAGCCCTCACCGCACCCACCCCTGACGTCGACGCCTACAAGACGCGACTCATCTCCTCGTCTTCTTCACCACACCGAAAACTCTACACCTGAATCATGGGTCTGTTCTCCAAGAAGAAGGATAAGGGCGGAAAGGAAAGCCCAGCCGCCCAGAACCCGTATGCCGCGCCTGTAGGCAAGGACCCATACGCACAACCGCCCCCCTCGTACTCGAACGACGGCCAGGACAACTCTTTCCGCCAAGAGAAGACGCCAGCTGTCACCGGCCCGGGCCAGAACTACGGACAGCGACCAGGCGGATACGGTGCGCAAGGAGGCAGCTACGGCGCACAGTCCGGCTATGGAGCCGATCGCTATGGCGGAGGCGCACCGCAGAGGCCCGGCGGCTACGGAGGCCTGGGAAGGACTGCGTCCAACGACACCATGAGCACCGAGGCAGGCCGCAACGAGCTGTTCGGCAATGCTCCCCAACGCCAGCAAGCGCAACCGCCTCAGCAGCCCAGCGCCCTGGGTCAAAGCGGTGCCTATGGAAGCACGCCCGGTGGCGGATATGGAGCTGGTGCTCCCGGTGGCTATGGCTCTGCGCCTGGTGGCTACGGAGCATACGAGGACCGCCAATTGACGGCTGAAGAACAAGAAGAGGAAGACATCGACGCCACAAAGCAGGAGATCAAGTTCATGAAGCAGCAAGATGTTGCGAGCACCAGAAACGCTCTCCGTCTCGCTGAGCAGGCCTTGGAAACTGGTCGAGGAACTCTAGGGACACTAGCAGCACAGGGAGAGCGTATCCATAAGTACGTTGGACACATCTTCACACATTTATACACAGCTAACTCGTTTCTAGCACGGAACGCAATCTCGACCTTGCCTCTATCCAGAGCGACAGAGCAAATGGACAGACCAAGGAATTGGCCCGTAAGGACGCGACCCTCAACACGTATCATTCATGACTAACCCGATTCCAGGCATCAACGCAAGCATGTTCTCCATCGTCCCCAACCCCTTCACAGGCAACTCGAAGCGCGAGAAGCAAATGCAACAAGCCATGGACCAGCACGCGCGCGACCGTGATACCCGAGAGCAAACCAACCGGGCCAAGTGGGAGTCTGGAGCCCGCGCAAACGAAGCCCAGCGTAAGCTAGCCACAGGCGGTGGTCCACAAGGCAACAACAAGAGCTCGCTGGCTGCACGTTCGAAGTTCCAGTTCGAGGCTGACGAGGAGGATGACGAGATGGAGAACGAGATCGATAACAACTTGGGTACGTACTCCCCGTCTATTCCATTGATGCGTGCATTCTAACAAATTTCTCTTAACAGACCAACTTCATGGCATGGCCAAGAACCTCAACCAACTCGGTCGCGCGATGGGCGAAGAGGTCGATAACCAGAACACGCACATTACACGCATCACTGGCAAGACAGATTCGGTCGATGACAAGATTGCCAGGAACAGGCTCAAGTTGGATCGCATCCACTAGGTCTGCACTCCAGCAAGGCGGGCGGAATGCTTGAACTCGAGTGCAACTAAGCCTGCTCTAGGGTTAGGGTAGCGTGATGGCATCGATCGATATATAGAGCATGGGATACGGCATCATAGGCGTTTTGGACACAATGACACAATTTTCATCTTGATCTCGGATACGGGTTGACCGTACTGGATACGACACGTAATATTGCTTATGTCTGATGCCCAACTATGTATACTCAACGCCCGGACTATACTCCAACAAAGATGATTCCCAGTGATTGAAGGACCGTCCATGTTATACCACATACTCTCATTACTCATTACCCATCAATCGCCACACGTATGCCATACCTACGCCAACAACAGCTTGTAACTCGCCACTTCGAATGCGCGAATCTCGATTGGCACACCCTTCTCCTTCACTTCTTCCGCTCCTACCCTCATGTCGCTTATGTCCAGCGGCTCACCCTCTTCGTCCTCCAGCGCATTGACCTTGATCACCTTCTTCACATCGACGTCACCCCAGGTAAGCACACCCTTGCTCTTTCCGCCCAGACTGTCGTAGATGCGTAGGATAATCGAATGACCCTTCTTGATCGGCAGTTCACCACGGCTGACATCCTCATCATCCTCGCCGCGCTTGATGGTGTCTAGCACGAGGTTGGGGGCGCCGTAGATGTGGAAGGGGTTCAAAAGACCACTGTGCATGGCGGATGGCGGGGCGTGCAGGCCCTGGCGGCCAACGATCTTCAGCGGGTTGTTGAACTCGAAGGCCTTGCGGACTGTGCGTTCGTCCAGACCGCCCTTGTGAGGGAAGATGGCGTAGCGAGTCTTGTGGCTGCCCATATCGGCGTGGGCATCTGGGGCCTTGGGAGAGCGGAGAAGGGACAGACGCATAACGTTTCCGGCGACTGCGAAACCGTACTTGCTGTCGTTCAGGATCGAGACACCGTAGGTAGCCTCGGAAAGATCGGCCCACTTGTGGCAGCAGACTTCGAATTTGGCCATGTCCCATGTAGTGTTGTAGTGCGTGGGTCGGCGCACGATGCCGAACTGAGTCTCGTAGCTGGCTTCTGTATTCACAATGTCGACTGGGAACTCGACCTTGAGGAACCTCATTGTCTCGTGCCATTCGATCTCTGTGTCAAATTCGATAGCACTGGGTGTGTTTCCTACAGCTGCAGGTAGACTCATGGTCGTCTTGACCCACGACTTGTCTGAGACCTTGGTCTCAATCACTAAGCTCACACGGTGAACGCTGTTCTCAGCGATGGTCACCTTGCTGGGCTCGAGTTCCTGCCGGGACTGAAGGTGGTAGACTTCGACATCCCAGGCTTGCCAGTAAAGTGGCTTGTCGTCGTAAATTACAAGCTGGCCGGCTTTGGCACCCTTCGGGATCAGTTCGCGATCGGCGGTAATATCGAAGAGTGAGGTGATGGCACCGTTGTTGACCTGTACAACGAATTGCGAGTTGCGGAGTTCGTAAACATTGGGATGGATCTCCTCAATAGTCGCCTTCTGAGCAGGGTACGCAGAGTGGAGTGGGAACACGTCCAGAGCACCCAAGCCCTTCTGAGATCCGTTACGATGAGCAAGACCGTACTCTGCCCCTGGAGGACTATACTTCGTTCGACTTGCCTCACTCGGCAACTTGATGATTTCTGTACGGCTCCATGGTAAGGTGTTTATCGCGAATAGCTTGGTGTCTTGATCCCAGCTAGTCTCATCGTTGAAGCCAAGTTCAGCAAGAGCGTCGGAAAGCAGCCTCTCTCCAGTAGCAAACACTTCGGCGTATATCTAAAAAAGTCAGTCGTAAAGTCAAATCTGGGGATCAGCAACATACCCGATCAGAGTCGTCGTAGCACATTTCGATGGAGCTTCCAGGCAGACAGTCATGGAACTGACACAAGAGCACATTCTCCCACATGTCGTCGATGTCCTTCTTCGGGTACTTGTATGAGCTCTTCTTGCCGAAGCCGTTCTTGATAGTCGCCAAAGTCGCCAGGTACTCAATGTCCCTCAGCATGATCTCCGACTTCCTGTTGTTGCGCTTGTTGTTCGACTGTGTAGTGTATGTACCACGGTGAAGTTCAAAATACAGCTCGCCATACCATGTCACGAGCTCAGTACCATTCTCGACCTTCTTCTCCAGGCGGTCAAAGAAGTCGTCTGCTGAGTCGCCTAGCTTGACGCGAGGCAACAGACCAGCAGTGTCGCTGATACCACGGCATCGCCTGAGTTTCTCAAGGTGCTGCCATGTCGGACCACCGCCTCCATCTCCTTTGCCGAAGACAATCAGCGATGACTTGTCTTGATCGAGCGACTTGTGCTGTGTGACGCTGCGCTTGACGTCACCGAAGTTCGCTTCGCACGTATACGTCTCAGATGGCGGCATGTGGCAGATGACCTGGCTGTTGTCCAGCGCGACCCAGTTGAATGTCGTATGTGGGAAGTTGTTGATGTTGTTCCAGCTCAACTTCTGAGTCAGGAATCTGGTCATACCCGAAATGCGACAGATTTGTGGTAATTGCGTCGAGTATCCGAAAGTGTCCGGCAGCCAGAAAGTGCGACACCGCTGGCCAAACTTGCTCTCGAAGTAGCGCTGGCCGTACAAGAATTGCCTGATGAGTGACTCTCCGCCAGGAAGGTTGGTGTCATGCTCGACCCAACTACCACCGATAGGCTGGAAGCTTCCTTCCTTGACCTTCTTCTTAACGCGATCGAATGTGGAAGGGTAGTACTGCTCGAGCCACTTGTATTGCTGCGCTTGCGAGCAGCAGAAGCGAAGCTCGGGGTATCGCTCGATGAGGTCACACTGGTTCGACCAGGATCGGTTGACCTTTCGCTTAGTCTCGTCGAATGGCCAGAGCCAGCACGTGTCGATGTGGCAGTAGCCGATTCCGTGCACGATAGCCTCCTGGTCGGTCTCGTATACTTTGTGCGAGTCTACGTCCTTGCCGACGTACTCGGCCGCAATCTTGCGGCATGCTTTGATGCTCTCTTGGCTTCCATTGCCCGCAATGAAAGTGTCGATGATGCGGTTGCCGACCTGCTGGGCATCGTGGGCTTGCGTCGAGTCCCCAGGGAACTCGCGAGCGGCATCTCCAATCTCCCAGAAGTCAAAGTACAGCCCTCTCGCCTCCAGGTTGACCGCCTGGACCTCAGCAGTGTGCAGCGTGTAGTACTTGTCTGGATCTGGTGGCTGAATCGAGTCGCCGCCGGGGGCATTGCCGAACATGCCGTTGCAGGCCATCTCGATGTAGAAGGTATGCTCTTTGCCGTCTCTAAACTCCTTGGGCAGGATCCATTGCGTGCGTTCGCCGCCACCTGTCAGTCCATGGACAGTGTACCCATCTTCGGTCCAGATCAGGCCCTCGTTGTTTGCGTCCCAGACGAATTCAAGATGTTCCTTGTCTAGCATGTGCTTAGGCACTGTGAGCTGGACCTTGAACCAGTGGGTCGACCAGCTGGGGCCAAACGACTCGCCGACTTTGGTGGGGTGGAAAGCATGGGAGGTGGCTTCCTTAAAGAGCGGGCGCGAGAGGTTCGGGGGCGAGTAGACGGAGAGCTTCACCCAGTCGGTTCCGGACGCGACAGCTTCGGTGAGCTTGCTGTATGACGTATGAGCATCTTGGAGCTGGGGACAGACGATTAGGAAGGCGTGAAGGTTGAGACTTACCCAACCAGACTCTGTTCCCTGTACTGTCCTGCATCGAGAAACTGCCTCAGTCGGCTCTGGTAGATGCTGTGGATCTGCTTGCCAACGGGACCAGCCGCCAGCTGTGGATAGTCTTTGGCCACGGGGACGGGCATGTTGCGGTGCGATTCTCCTCCCATGGTGGATGAGGCTGGAGATGGGGATTGGAACTCGGTCGAGGCGGTGTGGAATTGTCGACAACGTCAACAGCACGCTACAGCAGCTGTGGTACCTTGCATGGCTCCGGCTGTGTTGGGGAGGAGCTCTCCCCGCATCTTGGCGATGGAGGCCCATGCTCCCTGCCCCATGATCCATTACCCACTCATCTCCACTTGGTCCCATCTTGCAGTCAAACTTCCTTTCCCACCCTTTGCGGATAATCGGCATCTCAAGGCGGTGAATCTGCCAATACTCGTCCATCCAGACTGAAGTTGTAGCGTATTTGGGTGACATTGGGGTGATCATGCAGGCGCGACATGTGGTTTCACATCGCTGTACTCCGTCTGCGTCTGACTTGTCTCTTGTATGCCAGGTCCATGTCGTGTTCATCCGGTATGTCTGCTGGGTAAGTGTCGATCTTTCTTATCTGTGTGCATCTTCAATATGCCCAGAGGCACTGTCCGCGTCCTCTTGGCAACCTTATCATCCGTGACCTCATCTCCAATGTCTTCAACACTTCGTTTCCTCTTCTTCTCCTTGCTGTGCAGGAATTCGTGCATTCTTCGGTGCCCATTTGTACCAACTGTCCCTTTTCCCATTGTGTGTTCATCTTCGGGTAGATATCCCACTTCTATAGCCCCTAGATGTCGATTGATACCATTTGCCAACATCTTTTCACCCAGCAGAACCGCCATGCGATCTTCCCATTGTCGCTTCTTGTCCAAAATCTTCCGTATACGGCACACGTCCTCGATATCACGACGCGGGGCCATCTTATCGGCCTCTACCTGTGGTAGTCTGCGGGCCACCAGATTGGCCGCTGGACCACGATAGCCTGCATCACCCTGCTCGACTTCAAGCGATTCGCAGGGCTCAGCTGTCAAGCTGTCGTGGCTGGTTGAGGACGACGTTGGCGCTTGTGAGAGTGGTGTGGAGAAGTCGCGATACATCGAGGGACTTGTCGCCTCACCATTGCGCTCGTCTGGCCATGAATTAGGCAATATGTATTCGGCTCGCAGCGGGCTGTGGCCATATATTGGATAGTATGGGTCGCGCCATGGTGCCTTTGGGCGCGGATATGAGGTGAGGAGAGACGATGTCAAGTCTGAAATGTCAAGAGGCGGCGTCTTACTAGCCAGAGGTGTGAAAATTAACGAAGACAGTAAGTCAAGCATGTCGCTGATATGATGTGCAAATGGGCTTGTCGATGAGGAGGTAAGTGTCTTCAACAGCAAGGGTCTTCAAATCGTAAAGGTAACTGAGCTTCTGCTATTGTCTCTATCAAAGCGGAGCGCGCGTCAAGCTAGTCTACTTCAGGAGTCAGTATTCACTGTGCGGCTTGACAATAGCAGCGCCAGCGCAGAGTGAGAGAAAGTGAAGGTGTGCACGAAATTGCCAAGGTGAAAGTGAAAGGTGACCGGAGCCGGTTCCCCAGATCAAGATACGAAGAGACGTAGTAGAGAAGATAGAATGATGTTGAGAATCTTGTGGTAGTTAAGAGGGTATATGACAATGTTCACACAAAGGCAGGAATGATGAAGTGAAACGTCGATGTTTGTTGCATTGTGATAAATATTGCAGAATTCAAGACATACCATCCAACTAAGTGAAAGGTAAAGACTAAGAAGATACAGCTATACTCTTGACTGAACTTTACAAAGACCGCTGCAGACTGTACACCCACGACCGCATCTAACACTGACTCTTACTATCGGCAACCCTCTGCCCACCCACCGCACCGTTAAAACCCTTCAACAGCGTATACCTTCCCTTGACACTAACCTTGTACGTCGTGCTATTCGTCTGATCTGTACTCGTCGCCCCGTTACAAGTAACACTACTCTTCACGCCCGTCAAACTAGACTGACTCCCCGAACTCGAACTACCTCCCTGATTGGGCGAATCAACACCCGCCGCACACGCCGCATAAGCCGAGCTCTTCAGCCATTGCGTTTCCTTGCCGTCCGAAGAAGTGCCAATAGGAATGTAAAGGCTGTTGACCTGCTCTGCCTGTGCGGATGCAGCAGGCCCGGAGTCGGTGGCGCAGGAGGATGCTGCTTCGGCGCCTTTGGCGTTCTTGATGGATTGCGAGTTTAGGGCGTTGGCGGTGTTAGCGGAGGTGAAGATGAGGACTTCGCCTAGGGCATTGGTTGTAGCTACTGCTGTGCTGTTTGCAGCGCCGGATGAGGACGTGGAATCGGAATTTGTGCCGTCGAGGGCGGCAGCTGCGGCGGACGCGGCGTTGCCTGAGGAGAAAGACGTTGTGACTACACGAGCTTGTCGGCCATCTGCCAGTGCTGTTGCGTTTGAGACGCTATTTCCACCTTGCTGCGAGGTGGAGTCGGAGTCCGTAGTGATGTTCCTAGGCGCCGAGGGATTGATAGAAGTGAATTGGGTGTTGTATGCCTTTCCGTCTGCGTAGTTGGCTATCCATGAGACGAGAGTGCCTGAACTGGCGATGAGTGGGATTTTGACCGTGTAACCGTTCACAAGGAGTGCCAGAGGGTTGGATGATGATGGGCTGGAAGATGTTGGTACCCGCACGCCGAAAGAGTAGTCGATTGGGAGGGATATCTCGGGCAGGAGGGCATCTGCAAGAGCTGCTCGGGAGCGGAAAATGGCGGGAAGGGCTGTGGCGGATGCCACGAAGAGGAATGAAGTGAGACGCATTTTCAAGTCTGGAGGCGGAGACAGTGGAATGGAATCAGTATGTTTTAATTCCTGCGATATCATGCTCTCGATTTTATATGGCATCGCCGACTCCCATTATGTCACACTGGTCGCGTTGCGTCATGCACGAATTGTAGTAGTGTTCAGTATTTGGCAGGCCTTTTCCGTAGACACCTGTTGGGGTAAGTCAGGCGCTCCTTCTCGGGCCTAGATACTCCTACTTCATGGCCGAAAGGACGCCGGCATGTTGTAGTGTGCCCTAACACCCGACCGGAAGCCTTCTTCGAGTGTAGAAGATGTGACTTCTAGTAGGCATATAGAAGCTATCAGAAGCCGTGTGGAAGAAGGCGTCGCTGTGACTTCATCGGTATCTTAGCCTCTCCATCACATCTAGATGAATCCGATGAACGGAACGACGGTCGATCCTCTTGCACTCCTGGCTCCAGTTAAGGCGCGCCCAGAATGCCATGATGGAGGGGTACCTACAGCTCTTGCTAAGGTAGTGTGTACCGTACTTCTACTAAATCGTACATTAGCCAGAGCCCACATTCATTGCATCGAAAGATGTGAGCCAATCGGAAAAGTCGCAAAATCGAAAATGATTTGACTTGCTTTGGCACCAATCACTAAGGTATAAGACGTCGGCTGCTCGGAACGTAGTGAACTCTTCCGGCACGGCTACCAAGGCCGTGGTATAAGACGAACACTCTCCCATGCGCCTTCAATGGCTCTGGAAGATGACGGGAGCATTGTCTCATTGTGTAGGGTCTCGCTGAACTGTCTTCCATTTCCTGGTGAGATGCGACCGACAGTTTCACAAAAGGTACTGTCTTGTTACACCACTAATGGAGAGATTCCAGATGAAGCCATTGTAGAACGAACGATGATGGTTTGCGATGATGCCCTGCAAATTCTGCGGCAAGTACTACGGTTTGTTTGTGTGGCCTCGCTGCGAGAGGGGCCATTGGCATCGGTATCGCGACGATACGCTTGAAAGTCGCACTGATCTTGGCTTAAGAGCCGTTGCTACCAGACACACGATGAAGGGAACTTGCGAGTTGCTCGCACGGACAAATCCAAGACAATGCGCAACATCTGCCGGGCGGTGGCTGCACTTATGCTATAGCACACACCGGTGGCACGCTACGGACCGGCCCATGTCGGCTTGGGGCAGACATAGCCCAGGAGCTTTTCGCATTCGACAGCTGACGCACGAGCAAACTCTCGTCAAAGCAAGGAAATGGAGAAGGGTGGCTGGGAAAAGCAGCAGCCTGCGCACAAATGTTGGGTCGCTCTTTCCCCAGGTAGTCCAGAAGGCATGGACGTAGGTGATCTGGCAGACGCACGCTAGCTGGCTTCTCCTCGATCTCAGCGCACGATCAGGTCCGAGCGCTCACACCAACCCGAATCGGTCTATCGAGAGGTCATTGATGTCATCCCGGCGCGCGTCTGAGAGGAACGAGACGTGCTCTACCAGCTTCCAAGGTGCTCTGGCCGCCATACGGAATTGTGAAGACTTCATGATGTAGGTGATTAAGGGTGGCTGGCTGTTTAAGATGAGAGCGGTCGGGGCTTGCGCAGGTACCTGTACGTCAGTGGAAAGAGCAATCCGGGGTAGTACAAAGATGGTTTGCTGGACGCTTGTTCTTCTGGAATGTATCGCACGCTTCTCCCCCGACCGTCTTTGCTTGTTACTGCATATCGCGCACCTCGTGTGACTACAACTCCTCTCAGACTTGCTCTTCGTTCAGTCTCATCAAAAATGCCTTCCAAGACCGACGACAAGTACACGGATCCGCAACTGCGTGATGAAGTCAAGGAGGAGATCCAAGCTGGTGACAAGGGAGGCGAGCCCGGCCAATGGTCAGCCAGAAAGGTAGGCTTGACTAATGCGAGTGTTCTTTGCACCACTGACACAGTCAATTACAGGCACAGATGATGGCATCCGAGTACAAGAAACGCGGTGGAGGGTATACCACAGACAAGAAGGACGAGAAAGCGGAGCATCTGGATGAGTGGACGGAAGAAGAGTGGCAGACAAAGGACGGCAGCGGAAGCGCAAAAGACAAGAACGGCTTGGAACACCGCTACCTGCCGAAGAAGGCATGGGAAGAGATGAGCGAGAAGGAGAAGGAGGAGACAGATGCCAAGAAGCAGGAGGGAGGCAAAGAGGGCAAGCAACATGTCGCTAACACCTCCAAAGCTGCACAAGCGAAGAAAGACGCGACCAAAGACGGCGAGAAGAGTGGCTTTACTAAGATCGAGAAGAAGAGCAAGACGGACTGCACGACACAATGGGACGACCCGGACCACATGGAGGAGGATCAACGGGCATACCAGAAGTTCTTGGAGAGCAGCCGGAAATCCAAGAGTCCCCCGCAGGACGATCATCCAGGTCAAAAGCGAGGACGTGGCGCAAACATAGAGGCTCCCAGTGCCAACAAGAGACAGAAGAGCACAGTCAACAAGCACGATAAGCCTATTGCAGCTGCCGGCGACATAACCCGTGTGCCGAAGAAGGGCCAGAAAGTTCAATGGCATTCGCTCCCTGGCTACGTTGACGGCGAGGTTGTGGAGGTTCTGTACGAAGAAAAGCAGGTCGACGGCAAGAAGGTCAAGGCAAGCAAAGAGGATCCCAGGGTGGTGTTGAAGAGCGACGCATCGGGGAAGATTTGTGTACACAAGCCCGAGGCAGTGTACTTCGATTAGAGCATGGTAGTGTTGCTAACTGGAGTTGGAAGCACGAGTTCACGGACGTTCGGAAGAGCACGTGACAGACTCAATCGTCCACGGGTGTCATCTTCGTTATTCGGCGTCGGTGAATAGGGAGGTGCCGTAGCATGTAGCAGCAGTGCTGTGTCAACAAAGACCATTCTATTACTCCAGACTCGATGCACGTCGTGGCCCAGGTGGCGAATGTCAGTAGCGCAGAGCTAGTGCTGTGAGGGTGTGATGCGGCACTCAAACCCAGGTAGTTGCCTGGATGCATCCAACGTCGAGGTCTGGACGTGGTTCACCAGGCAAAGGTCGAATAGGAAGTGTACGGAGCGGGAATAGCAAGCTCTTCGCTCCGCCGTGTGTACTGTCTATATGACCGCCGACAGGACGGGCTTAGTTGCAGATGTAGCGGGCCTGGGCCGCATCCAGGCAAGACGGGGAAGGAGCAGAGGTGCATGCGACGAGGGTGTGATTGGGCGGGCAGGAGCGATCTGCACGTCTCCCCAGGTGGTGTATCCACGGCGACGCTGCAGGTCCTGGCGAGGGGCTCGTCTGTTGTCGC